CAGTTATGGGACTAGTATCTGTCATGAATAGTTGTTTCTTTCTGCTTGCCTTCTTCTCTCCCAGGGGTGGGGAGGTTTGAGTATGTACTGAATTCTTTTATCGTGCCATCATTGTTATCCATTGGAATAGCATAGAGTAGGCAGACCAGAGGCAAGGTGCACCAGCAAAACTCTAGAGGTGGTCAAATTAGGATATGATGCCGGTCTGGAAGGAGGTGCCCTAGCACCACCATCCAGTCTCAGCTGTCTGTTACTTGCTTTTAAGAGGACTAACTCACACCCAAACACTGGGGTTCATACCAGGCATTAAGTCAACAGGGCCTGCTTCCCTTATTGACACCAGCACTGGTGTGAAGGAGGGAGAAATCTCAAGGTATGGAGAATACACAGGCAACTACTAGAGGCACTTCAGACAAAGCAATAAAACACATTGTCCTGGACTCTAGAACTGGACAGGCTGAGTAAGGTGATGATCCTTAACCTCTTAGTTGCTGAGGGACAGCTTGGCTCTCCCCTCCTCCTCTTTCTTGCCACGCTACAGTTGCCAACCCAAATAGGAGCCCAGGTCCCTGATGCTGAACACTGAGGGCACTGCTGAGTCCCTGCATTTAGCTTCAGATTTGTGAGTCATCTGCTCACAAAGTGATATATATCTGAATTACTCCATCAGAGACCCTGAGACAAAGTAATTTATGGAGTGTGTGAGTGTTTGGGTTTCAGCAGCAAATATTCTTCAGGTTAGGAATAAATGATTAAAATGTGCTAATTAAATTCATCTGGCAAGGTGGCCAGGCCTCAGTAAATGGATCAGGCTCCCAGCCAATTTGCTGTACTGCTTAATGAGAAGTTACATGTATAAAGAAAACATTGCATCTGCAGGGAACGGTCTGTGGAGCGTGGCTGAGAGGAGCCGCCAGCTCTTCTGTCAAAGCCCAGTGCATTTTAACACTTCCAGCTAGAGGCAGTCATGTCAACGAAGGAGCAACAACACACGCACACATCCTCATGCAGTGCCTAACACACAAACCTGCCCTGAATTTCTCCTCAGCATTATTCTTTTTTCTGCACTCCAGTGGTGTTGTGTAACCCCCTCTGACATGGAGCTGTGGGCAGTTTTGGCAGGAGTCCCTGTCTGCAGGGCTCAATAGGTTCTTTAATGGGAAACCCCACTAGTTTCCCCAGGGAAATCAAGGAAATGTAGAGTGAAAGCTGAAACCACACCCTGGTGGCAGGAAACTGGGCTTCACACAGTGAATCACATCACCCTCCCATTTGCAAGCCATGGGCTAAGTTTAAGGCTTCATGCTGAATTCCCAGAGGGTTCTCACTGCTTCCAGGCAGACCTTTCATGGCATTCTGCCAGTCTATAATGTGCCTTATTTTTATTTTCTCTCACATCATTTTCAGTTTCATGTGTTAGAGTTCAGCATAATCCTCATGCAAAGCTTAATCTGTACAGAAAATGCTTTCTCCCTGGGAGGGAATTGCTGAAGGCAGATGAAGGTGCGATATGACATTCATATTAAGCCTCCAGTCCCCCAGTCCCTGTTAGCATCGTTTGCTGGAATCGCCACAGTCACAGAGAAATAGTGTAATAAAAGCAGAATTTTAACACTGTATTTGAAATGCCACATTTATTTGTTCTCTTATTATGTGATGGCAAATATACCAGCAAATGTATTATTAAGGGTCATTCAGAGTGATGTGGTTGTTGATAAATTAACTGCCATCTGCGTGTCACTTGGTAACTTGTAATCATTCACAGCTATTCTGAGCTAAGTCACTCAGATAAAACTAGTTGTGCTAAATTTAATTTTTAAAATTGCCTAGAAATGTTGGGTGGGAATGTTGCCATTCAGAGGTGCTCTGAGACACACACCCAAAGTGTGCAGTGTAGGCACTGTGCATCAAGCAAGCAGTTGGCAGCTGAGTTTTATAATACACCGGACCAAGTTCTCAGAGGCAGAGAGAAGGAAAATCATGCTCAATTACTGCAAAATAGTTTGAGTTTTTTGGAATATTTTTTCTTCCTGAACCAGGTCACAGCACACAAAACTTGTTGGGTTTCATAGCACTTGAATTCTACAAGTTTCCTCAGATTCAGATGGTCTCGTGGCAGGAAAGGCCATATGAAATGGAAACAGGCCCTCATGGGAGCACCACCTTCCCCCCTTGCCTGTCCTAGGAGGTGGCCAAAGTCTTGGAAATCTTGGTTTCCAAGGGTACCAACATAACAGCTGCTGTGAACCAGGGAGTCCATGACAGCCACTTTGTACCAGCCTTCTACCATGCAGGCTGCAGAACAGCCAGAGAGAGGAGTCAGGAAAGCAGGTGGGTTTCAGCCACAGAGTCTTGTTTTTGCTAAAAATTTCATCAAAACAGGCACATTTTAAACATGTCAATGTCAGTAAATGATGCCCCACCACAATGATTCAATGCATGTCACCATAGATTGGTAGTCAAGTCATGAAGCAAATTTGCAGCATGAAGCAACATAAGGCTTCAGCAATTATGCTGAGACACTGGTTTGGAAAAGGGGGGAGAACACCTTGGTCTGATTAGTACAGTATGGTGAGGAACTTCAGTTGTAAGGAAGTGTGTATTAAGGCTGCTTCTATGGCTACAGTGGCCTTATTATGAGGGAATAGGTATCCCTTGAATGGAGTGGAAGCTGTAGAATTTACATAGTGATGAGGCATTTCAGTGGGCCCAAGAACTACAGTTGATTTTCTTTTCCAGCTAAAAGCAGGTGTGAGTGGTACTTATTAATCTGAGTCCACCTCTAAATGCACTTAACAATTCAAGTTCAATTAATTTTCAGAGTGCCCAGGTAGGAAGTAATCATTAAAAACACGTAAATTAAATTACTTGGGAGCTTAATAGATTAGTCATTGACTTTCCAGCTTATGTTGGATCTTAACCTTCAACAGAAATTAATCAGCAATCAGTTCTCTGAACTGGCTATAAAAGGTCACAACACAGTGGCTGAAACATACACTAAATGAAACCTTAGCCTCAGAGCTGTCTGTCAGGAGGAGGTAGAAAAAGAGATGGACTGCCATGGAACTTCATCCTTGGGATGCCATGGAGCAGACACTTTTAGACTCATCCTTGCCTTGATATTTGTCTGTGAGAAATGAGCCCCGTGTGTGACATCTGTGCTCATAAATCCATTGTATACAAAGTCACTGAATCCTCATTGCTCTGAACACTGAATGTGTTTTGATAACTTTTGCAATGGAAGTGTGGGTTTACCTGGACACAGTGCTTTATGCCCTGGGGGACTATCGTCCAGTCTCACACTTTGCCTTCTAAAGGAAGACCATTTGGGGAAGGCTGTAAGTACAGATAACAGGGAAAATAAGCTCTTAAAAATTATAATACACTGCATTAAGACTTGGACCATGGGAACTATTTCCAGTGTGCTGCAACAATGATTCTACTAACTTATTAGGAGCAGTGACACACTCTCTATAGAGGTACATCGTAACAAATCTCTCTCTACTGCCACATACGCATGCAATGAGGTGTCTGTATCATTCCAATCACAGAAGTAAATGTTTTTAATGGGAATTTGGCACAAAATTCCTTTAAGTACCCTGGGTACTGCCACCTTGATAGTGGAGTGAAGGATAAATTAGTAAGGGAGGCAATGATGAATAAATAAAATAAGTGCCAATGAACACAGAGATGCCCACTGACTTGTCATTTCTTCACCTCAAACCTTTAGTAATTTGCCCCTGTAAAACATAAACTGAGCTATGCTGCACCATCATTCCTGCTCTTATCATAGCTATGCCTGTTGCTAGTGACCATTTGCATCCAGCCAGGTGCAGAGACAAACAAAAGAAGGTTTCCTGGGGAAGGCAAAGGGGGCCTTTATCTATCTTACTCTGAGAACATATGATGCAAAATCAGTATCATAACAAGGGCAGAACAAGGTGTCAACTTAGAAGGGGCACCTGGCGTCAACTTAAAAGGGGCACCAGTATGCCCCCCTTCCCTTAGAAGTTTTTTCCATGGGAGGGACAGCCCTGCCATAGAATATCTGTGGGGTACTACAGTGAGCAAGGCAAGTGAAATGCACCCCCCCCCCAGCTTTGTGGTGGGAGGAACAGTCCTGCACCCTAAAGCATTACTGGTGTGGGGAGTAAATGGGATACCAGGAGCAGCCTTGGGGAGTCCACAGTGGCTGGGCTGCTGCACTGGCGTGCAGTAAGTCCATTCCTTAGCTACAGCAGCCAAACACATGCCATTACAGAAGAAAGCTGTAGCAGCTGCCACCCAAGCATGGAGAGCAGTATCAAGTAAGACTCCACCGGACCACCCTCCTGCTCTCCAATAGTCAGCATAATACACACCCCCACCTCTGCCCTGGGCACTGAAATAGCTTGCTACGCCTCTGTGCAAGATGTTCTTGCTGCTATAAGTGGGATCTAGGCACACATCGCCACATGACTGAATCCCCCATCTGTCTGTCAGCAATGTCCTAAACAAATGCATAAGGAAAAGCCTGGTGAATTTGTGCACTGAGCCATCACGGGCGAACTCCAGATGCCTGTCCTGGGGTATCACAGACAAGGCTAAAATAGAAGAAGAATGAGAATCCTAGTAATGCTAAAGCTGGGAAACTGAGGTGAGGAAGAAAAAAGAGAGCTGAGAAGCTCCTGCAAAGTTGACAAGAAAGTTGCTAAAGCTCATGTCAGTGGAAGATATTTAGTTTTTTGAGCACCAGAAATTTTTTCCATGTTCAGGGTTTGAGAAGCCTCTAACAGCGAGGTAGCCGCAGAGGCATTGCCTTTCAGGAAATGCCCCCATCCCTCAATCTCTGTGAGTTCCTGGGCTTGTTAGTCAGGTAATTTTCTATTTAAAAAAAAAAAAAAGGAGCAACCTTTAGTGTAGAAAAAAGTGACTAAGACAGATGCCAGTTTATACCAGAGATCTAAGGAAGATATTTCTAAAACTGCAATTACCAGAAAAGGGGAAAAATTACTACTTACTTCAGGGATTTTTACACATGGAGAAGCAGAGCTGTGGAAAATAATCAGAGCAATATGTTTGCAAAAATACATTATTTATAATGAAATATTTCACAGCAAAAGGTCACTAAGAGAAATTGAAGGCTAGTAAGTAGTTGCTTTATTGCCATAAGGTTTATGGTCACCTTTAATTAAGATTATAATAGGCAAGTTTTAAATCTATTAAGCAAGCCCAGTTTAGGGCCCAGCCACCAGTTTCAAGAAAAATGAACTGCAGAGTCAACTGACAGTCATAGCTTGGCCAGTTTGCTCTGCTGTGAATCAGGACAATTCCTCACAGGATTATTTTCCATACACACACACACACAACACAAAGCCTTAACCAGCATGTTGCTAGAGCCAGATTCATCAAGGGGGTATGCAATAGAGATACAGGTAGAAAGTCCCTTTTTTGTCCACATTCTCCTCCACATAGGGTGCATCTACACATTGACCTACAACAAACTTGTTACTGCACCATGCATGTGGTGCACAGTTAGTTTTAGGCACTACTTCTCCATAGAGCATGCCACTATGGCAAAGTAGCTGCCAGTCACATGTAGATTCACGTGATCATAATGTCGCCATAGAGCACTGTATGGCGATGTAACGTGTCACTACAGTGATGTAGGTGTTGTGTAGATGCACCCATAAACACCTTACAGACCTAACTATGGGCAGGCACAGACATTTTTTCACACGAGCCCTGGGTGTCACACCTGTGTTGTCTGCAGTAAGGAACTCAAAAACAGATGCTGCCAGATACGTACCTTAGAATATCAATCTTCTTTATTTCCATCTGAGGTCTCTTTAGTCCTGATTCACTGATACAAAGGCTTTTTGGTGATATGTTAGGAAGAAACCCATCTGCCTAGAACAAAATGTGGCTTTCATTTCAATATATACAGCAGCTGAAGGTCCAAAACTTCGGAGAAGTCAAAACTCTTGACCTTAATTTTACTGAGATCCTTAGTTTCAAAACCATTAGCTTTTCCTGAGAGCAGCGAGGTGTACTGAATAAAATGGGTAAATAGTAGTGTTTTTATAACATCAATCAAAAAGGAATTAAAGCCCCTTTTGCATTCTTCCTTCCCTCGACATTCTTTTTTTAAGTTACAGACTGGGTTTTGATTGGGGCTAAAAGAGCAATAAGGACAAGGTAGAACATTTTAACCACATTTCTTATCCTGGAAATAGCCCTGCCCACCAGATAGTGTTTAGGGATTGGTAAAGCACAATTAACCCTTAATTGGAACATGAACAAAGAACACAGACAACTCAGTGTCCTAAAATCAAAGTCTAATTTTATTAGTACAAGAAGTATTATCTTAGCAGTTTCTATATTCAGAAAGAGAAAAACACTTAGTACAATGATCTCACCCAATCCAAGATGTTACTTTGCTCGGAAAAGATGGCCACTCTGTTCATGAAGCAAAGGGTGTATTGTTGTCTGGGATGCTCCAGACAGATATTGAAGGCTGGATTTATGATGACAATGATAACGATGCCACACTTAACTTTCTTGCTGCTCACTTTTATGCTTTCCTTTAACTTCACTCCTTTGATGAGCCCTTGCTTTCAGATTGGTCTCTTTGCAGTCAACATATTGTCCATATTCTATCCTATCAGCGTATTCAACAGACCCGTCATGAGCATACCTCTTAATTTGGCTGTTTCCCAGTGTCTTACTTTGGGCATTGTCCACTGATCTCTCTTATCACCTTTCATTAACATATCCAATCATTTCATCCCTCTGATTCAGCCAGTTAATGCCAAGTTCAGTTAATTTGAGCTAGTAACAAAACTACCGCTATGTTGTGTTAGAAAAACTTCCCACAGTGATAGAAAAGGAAAGAAACATCATGCGAGCAAACTCAAGGCCATAAGCTGCTTGCAAGAGGCAAAGCCAGCTGATGTTGCAGACACGAGCAAAATGAAAAGTTCAGATAACAATGAGGCTATACAGAACTTTAGGCTGAATATAAAAGAAAACTTTAAACAATACTGTAATTCACCACTCTATAAACAAATACAACTGTAAAGCCTAAAATATGACAAGCTACCCTATCAGAAACAGCTGCCTGTGGAAGAGCAGCAATGACATTTATCACCCTCCTAACCATTGCTAGCATGCTAGCAACTCCCACCCATGCTTGGAAAAAGGTATCTTGCATTTATTAAATGTGTTTCATCTCTGAGAACTTGACAGACATAAGCTGAACTGCAAACTATACTCAGGGATCACTTACCCAACAGCTGCGCTGCTGCTGAAATTGTCTCTCTCCACAGTGCTATGTAACTAACCATTCACCATTGTCACTGTCATGGAAAAAGGAATATAATAATTGGCAGGAGTTAGTTTATTTTCATTCTACATAGTTTAGATCCTGATGTCTTGATGGAATTAAGCTGTGATTGTGTGAGGGGACAGACAGCCTAATCACTAAGAGGAGTTACTTTTGTGAGCACAAATAACAAGCTTCTTAAGAAATAGGGCAAAAATGCCAGAATTTTGCAGCAAAAAATGGAAAAGGTGAAAATGAACTGGTACTGCTTCACATATCAAAAAGTGCCTGATGAGCTGTCTGTAAAATGGAGATTTTTGTCTGACTTGCAGTTCAGAACAGATTTAACAGCAGGAACTGGCTTGAATGTCAGCTATAAGAAAGACCCCCCTCTCTACCGCCAATAAACACACCTAAATTATGTGTATAGAAAACCCCTGTCATTATAAAGAATAGATCTACAGCATCTTTTGCCTGAAACCTATCAGCTTAAATGGCACTACAGAGTAGACCTTGCTGTATCAATAAAGTCTGTGGAGGAAAAAACAAAGAATAAATGTGTATCACACAGTAACATAAATAAGAAGGTGCCATCCAGAGTCAAAGCTTTCATGCTGGAAGGCTAACATTTCCATTTCTAAAAACAGCAAGACGTAACACTTGCTGAGCAAGATAGACCTTGTTCAAGAGGACCAGATGCTTTTCCTGCTTTAAAGATTTATTCCGAGGTGATATGCTAAGCAAATCTAGGCAGAGTTGTTACTCTGAGACACCAAATTTTATTTAAATCTTTGATTGTTTGCATTATGTCTTCTCAAATGGTTTTCCATTACCAAAGAAAGAGGGACGTTAAGCACTCAGTGTACACACACACACACGCACACGCACACACACACGCACACGCACACACACACCATCCTTCCCTCCACCTCCCTTAAATTATCTTATAAATCTTATCCCATCATTTAAACTCATTGATTGCATCATCTGCAGTTTTTTTTTAAAAATCCCAGATTCCAAGACTATTTTTCTACCAGTAAACAAGGTAGATATGTCTAGCACTATCCCTAGGGCCCTTTAATCACATTCCATCTTATCCCTCTAGATGAGTCTTTTGTGAGATATTGGTCTCTCTCTCTCTCTCTTTTTCTTGTCTCTTTTCTTTTATATTTAATAGATCATTTTTAATACCAAGTCAAACTGAAGCTTTCCCTGGCTTCATCTAAGCTATTACAAAAGGCTCAGAAAAGATGGACAAAGATATCTTTCCTTGAGCAGCACAAAAGCTCTTACAATACTCCCATACGGTGTAGTAGATAACTGCATTGGGGCTGCATCAAGAGACCTCCATCCTGTTTATTGCAGTTCTGGAGCTCATGGGAGCAAGTTATATAGGCAACCATCGATCCTCTGGCTCCTGGTGTATGTGTAAGAGGTCTAGTCAGGTGCCCAATTAATCTGCTTATGGATGACAAGCCCAATTTGAGAGTGACAACTTGTTACAAGTTATACGCAAGTTGTTTTATTTCATTATGGGCAGGATAGATTGCATTGGAGCATAGCTTTTTTGGTCCACCTTTTCTAGGGCTTTCTTCAAGAGAAGCAAGCATAACACCCCTGAATAGGGCTGTTTGGATATCTTGGTATCTGCCTCAGGGTCCTTATGCCCCTTCTCCTTATGGAGTCCTGCAGCCATCACACCAAGACCATGGATTTGTATGCCTAGGCAATGGTCTGGAGGAGTGGAAGCTACCCTAGACCTCCCATCCCACCTTTAGACCATTGACACAGAGTCTAAAGGCCAGACTAAGTGCAGACATTCAGTGTCTTGATGACTGTAACTTCTGCCAAAGAGCAACAGGTTAGAGCTGCTGCCGACTGCCTAATGCCTCAGTGACCATGTGCTTCTGTCAGAGTGATGTCCTTTAGCCTTATTCTGACCAAGAAGTACCCACAAGGCATTGGGGGCTAGAATTTTAAGGCACCCTATACTTGCCTTACTCTGGAGGTTGCAACATTGTGATATTTTATAGGAACTACCCTGTCATGAGTAGCCCCAACATGTTGGCACCAGGCCCTCCAGTTGTACGTAGGATGTTGGATGTAGGATGCACATGAAAAGGCCAAGAGATTCCTGTTGCTGACTATTGCTGATCACACCATTTACATTAATGCTTGCATTAAGAGTGAACAGGATGAAGTGGCATAACCAGCTGCGATTCCATTGCTGTCATTGATGTTACATCAATGCCACCTGAGGATTTCCTAATAACTGTTACACACCTTTGCACACATGGCAGGTGGCTGTTCCTTGCACAGAACTAGAGCTCAGAGAAGGGTCACAATGATGGAGGCTGTGATCATCTCTCATGCAAAGAGAAATTGAAAAGACTGGTATGGTTTACCTGGAAAACGGACAGTCCAAGTATTAAAAAAAAATTAATGGGATTGAAAAGTGAAGTAATCTTGAGAATTTTTCAATTAAGTATCTTCATTTTAAAAGACTGACTCATCAAAACCAAAGCCTTTCATGGGAATGGCCTGATTTTGACAAATGTAGTTACACAGAAAAGAAAAGTGAAGAAAAAGACTCCAGTCCAAAAATCCATTAGAAGTTTAAAAAACTGGTACAGGAGACTGGCTAAATCAGAGGTTTACAAATAGGACTTGGGGGCATATATCTCATATATCACATGTTTAATTCCTGTCCAGACTGGTAATGATCACACATTATTCCTCTCTGTTGGCTTTAAGGTAGAAAGCATGACATCATTAAGTGGTCCCAGCCTACATGCTCCAGTGGGCACCTGCCTACATCCAGTCACTAAGCAGCAACCTCCAGCACATGAACCATCTCAGCCCATAAGCAGTTTCTAAGGAGATTGAAGGATGCCTGAGGTGTGGAGAACGAATAGGCTGCGGACACCTCTGGGGGGAGGTTTTAGTGAAAGAATCCCAATGGGATGAAGGGAAAGCTTGCTACGCTATGGTCCATGTGGTACTAGTCTTGTGAATGAGCAAATCACACCCAGGCTGCCAATCTGGAGCATGACTGAATTAATTTCTGAACAAGCAAGGGAGGTCCCTTCATCCCTCCGCCAGGTCCACGTCCTTGTTCTCATGTGTGCTTCTGACTGGAGGAAGACTAAGCATATGAATCCTTTAATGCAGACCCATAATTCCCCAAGGTCAGAAGGCAGATTTGTGTCTCAGAGCTGTTAATTGCTGCCACGGTAAAGCTTCCTGAGTGATATTTTTAGCATTAAAATGTGGAGCTGCTGACGTTTTCTTGAAATTGCTTATACAACAACATGCTCATAAGCGTCTCACCTTCACAGTGCGGTATGGTACGGGAGGGAACTGAGCAGCTCAACGGCCTTTGCTTAATGCAAAATTGGTAATGTCATTTTCTTGGTTCCCAAATCCAGTCTGATGAATAAAAGAACAAGGTGAATGTACTGGAAAGCTAAGCCAGCTAGATTCATATGCATTGCAAACGGCTCCTAACGGATTTCTCATATCCTCTCACTGCAATTCTTAAATGCTCAAATAGCCCTGACAGAATATTTGCAGTTTATAGGCATTGAAAATAGGATTGATTTACTGTAGCCACATATCAAAGCAGGAAGTGGCACTTTTACACATGTATCAGCAATTAGATGTCTGAAGGCAGCAGAAAAGTCTGTTTCATTCTTTAAAAATAAAAAATTGCTTACTGTCCCAGAAAGAGCCATTTGACATCCAAGTTCTGGGAGCTATGAGACTATGTTAAGAATTAACAAAGATGCATTAGTTGTCATGTAAAAGTCTGCTTGTTCTAGTCTTCCCCCATCCTTTTTTCTTTACTTTGAGTTGTCTCAATATTCTGCTAACAGCTAATAAGTGTTTGTGAGTAATTTTTCTAGACATTGCAGCTGTTAAAGTAGCTGCCTGTGGAAAATGCATTTAAATCAAAATGACAGCCATGTCTATATCTGAAGGAGCATTCAGCCACCATGAACTGTAGAGTGGCGAGACCTGTGTGAGGCAGGCAGCATCCCCATCAGAATAATTTCTAGGACAGCCTTAATAAGCAAATGCTCCGCTGTGGACACTGTTTCTTTCTAGGCAGGTTTCTGTCTTGATGGGTAGTATTACAGTGCACTTAAACCACTGGCTTATGTAAAAGACTTCTATAGTCACATTAATGAAGCACATTGCCAGCAGAGAACCTGACCTGCAGTGTGGATGCTATCAGTAGATGATACCAAACAATCAAGCATTGGAAAGGGAAATGCACACCAGCAAAAAGCCTAGGTATTATTCTGTATTTAAATGCACTGCCCCTTTCACAAAGTTGAATTCAAACATTTGCCCAAGAATATTTCAAGACTTGCAGAATGCATTGGACCAGGAACTCCCCCTACCTATGCAATGAAGAAGGAGCGAGGCATATGTCTCCAACTGTTCCGCCCACC